GCCTCAGTCAGCAACCTTTCTAACAAATTCACTGAGAGGTGTTTATAGTCCGGACGGAAAGAAGTGGTATCCCTGAAGCCGGGGGACGAGCGCCCGCCAGATGCTGGCGAATGTTGAGTACGCGAGAGTAGACTGCAGGGCCAATCACGAATGAGGTAGGCAATACAAATTTCCGTCAATGTCCTGGAGGTTGTGGAAAGGTAATTCAATAAAGTCGATGTACTCGGGGATTCCCATTTTTGCACTCAAGATAAAGATTGCGGCACCATTAACTGGTCACGGGTATTTTGGACGAGTGCGCCAAACATGGTGTCTTGGTTTACATTGTATTGAACCGCGTTGACTCACGTCCAATGACCCGACCTTCGCAGCCTCACACACACGTCCCCTTTTTCACGGCGCGGAACCATCACTCCTATGCATGAATCAGCCATACCCGTTTTCATCCATTTGGCCACCCAGACGTTTGTACGTCTCCTAATTCACCCTGACCGCATCAGTCATGCACTCTCTTTACTACGCGCTCACGACGCCACACGACACAGCTTGGCTAAGCTACCCAGCAAGCGGTTGAGCCTGGCTCTCTCCAATCTTCATCTTCTCGGGTATCAAGCTAGCGTAATCGAGTCACATTCAACGCAATGGCTCCGGTGTGGTTCAAAAACACATGCTGGGGTCCGCAACAGTCCAAATGAAATGACTGGAAGCTTTGACATAGCACAAAAGCGAAAACCTCATCAGTATAATTTGTTTAACATGGTGAGGTATAGTGTGGGATTGTCACATCTATCAATTATTGAAAATTTTAGAGAAATTAAGTCTTTTTAATTAATTAGAGGATGCTTTTTACCACAATTAAACAGCATTCGTTGCAAACAAAATAAAATTTACAGACCAAAGTAGCTCAAGTGTGGAATTTTAACGGCACCATAATCTTGGACTGGAAAACACAGAAAGAGTCTCAATGGCGTATGCTTCATCATCGGCCAAATTTTTGCGGAACCCTTCGCGTTCGTCCTTAAATCGTTGTTATTTCTTTTCAGGCTCGATAAATGAACAATAATTCCGATCAGCCGCTTTGTCAAAAAGGATTTTGTTCTCCTCGATGGACCAAATCAATGATGGATCGAAGTCAGAAAAAATACTGAACAGTTCTATCATATGCCAGTAATATTTTTGTTCTTGTTAGGTGTTTGAAGAATTCGAGTTCCAGAAGTTGACTGTGCCTTTGGGTCGCAAACCTTAATATTATAGTAAATCGAAACTAAATCCCGGGAAAGGGTATATGAGAACTTGCAGGAAAATAAAGAGTCGCAGTGGCGCACCGTGGCATCAATGTAGTGATTGAGGAATTTTATTGCTGATATTTTCGATCTCGAAAAATCTCAATTTTAAAAATTAGCAAATTTGATGTCGACAACAAATAAACTCAGCTACAGTGCATTATATTTCACTATTGAAATGAAATGCTTATAATAAAAGAAGCCTTTAAAGGTTACGTGAAATATTTCACACTTGATTCCCTGAGGCATCTACGCAACTTCAAACTCCTTTACCAGGTGTAAAACAGAATCATTTTACCAGGATAATATTACTGGCTCCGTTTAAGGGTATTTCTTAAATAAATTTGGATTATCAAGATTGATAAACTGAAACGTTGCAAATGTTTGCGCATATTTGTGTTTTACTTAATTTTGAACCATATTTTCAATTCAACTTTGTTGCCATTCCCAGTTTCATTTTCGAATTCAACACATTAAGAGGTCATTATTCAATCTCTCACATTTGCTGTAATAGCCTCCATTCTTTTAAATTCCCTAAATTTTAGAAGACTGGTCCACTGGTTGCGAAGGCTTCATTACTGCCCACCCTTTTCGTAAACATCTCCCGATTCTGACCAATTATGTGTTAGCATATGTGATTTATCCTATTGCGCACTTGCGTAAGCCAGCACGTACACGGTAGTCTTATCGATCTTGAGGCACATCACACAAGCCATTGGCTCGTGAATATTCAGGAATTGTAATTTAGATCCTGATTGGTCCATTTTCGTCCGCTGGAGATAGAATATAGTAAAATTACGTGCCATGCCTTTACCATACCTTAGTTGAGCGTCGGTTTTGCTTGCTGCGAGTTAATCCCACACAAAAGGAGAAACAATGGTGTGTTTTTAATAACATTTAGTTTATAATTCTCCTTAGGTTGAACTCTCTAAGGCTGAAATTGAAGGTGGGTAGTTAGCAAGTAGTCTTAAGACTGCGTGCTTGTTTACTTTTCTACAAAAATTACGATCACTGGCTCTGTGTAGATATCAAAGAGGTCTTTGACCTCTTCGACTTTTGGGACGGTCGCGATGGAATGATCGACGCCATCAAAGTCCCCGATCTTCTCCGGTGTGCTGGAATGAACCCAACCCTCAAAGTTGCTCTGAAACACGGAGCTACCAAGAAGGCCTGTAAGTTGCATTTTCTTCTGTTCATATCAGGCAAAATGTGTAACATTAAATGTTTTTGCTTGCTATTTTAGGCGAAAAGCAGTACAAATTTGATGAGTTCTTGCCAGTGTATCAGGCTATCGTTAAGGAGAAAGAAGAGGGTACTTTCGCAGATTATATGGAGGCATTCAAAACTTTTGATCGTGAAGGCCAAGGCATTATCAGCCTTGCTGAACTCCGACATGTCCTCACCAATTATGGTAAGTTTGCTAACTTCAGTATCACGCCATCTGCCATCATTCACTTGTGATCATTTACTGTGTTCTTCTAGGCGAAAGATTGTCAGATAGCGAAGTTGACGAAATCATCAAGCTTGTCAAGCTTCACATAGACTCGGATGGAAACGTTAAATATGAAGGTAAGCCAACTAATTTATTTATATTATCTCAAAATCCTTCATTGTTAGTGTGCGACTAAATCCTGCGTTCTCACTTATTTAAACAGTTTTTTTAATGAAAAAGACTTTTAACCTTAAGCTAAGTAGATAAGAAATTACAGCGGGTATTTTCAAGGATGTTTCCACCAATTGTATGATTAGATTCTTATTTGATCATCAATGCCACCAGCTTTTAATTTCTCTCTTCACTTTGCGAATGACTATTTTGTGTCATAGAATCAAAATTCACTTCTGAAAGGTATCATTTCTTTTCTTATTAAGGTTTTATTTAAAGCAATCGATTTAAGTCTCCACTCCCTTAATTATAAAATTTGTGTATTTGTATGTATATTTTTGTGTTTCCTTTTATTTTAGAATTTATCAAGGGAGTCCTTGAAGGTCAGCCTAAATGAACATGAAAAACCATTATTTCTGGATCGCGCAAATATGCCCTTTATTCAAATGTAGATTTAATAACAGAACAAAAAAACCCGCGTACTGTGGCGTTTTATGTCTCCATTCACTTTTCGTGATATTGCTTTCATTTTAAACATAACCCTTTCGATTGACATGTAAGCTTCTTATGCTTTCTGGTAGGCCTGCCACATTCTACTCAAGACACAAAATGTATCTTTTGTTCTGGCCAAATAAGTGTGATTTGGAATCATCAACTTCGTATCTTCAAGTGATTTTTAATCCATCTTTTTATTTATATGTATCACGGACTAAGGGTGTCCCAAATACACATAGCACACTTTCTAAGATTGTAATTTTAGAAAGCCTAGAAGCAAAATACCAGCGGATCCTCCTATTAGGTTGTGTGATGTCAATAGGTGGTTTGACAGATTAACAAAATTATAATTTGTTCATATTGTTGGATCACAACTGCCAAGTTTGCAACAAAAAGAGAATATTTTTCTGACGCACTTGTCCCTCTCGGATTTACTACTTGGTCCAGTCGATTAAAGATAAGGTACTAATCCACATGTATTGATCTCAATGTCTCCCAGTGGATACATGGCATGAAGTGTGTGGTCAAAGTAATGCGATAATTAGCCAACACAAAATTGACTGCATTTTTATTTATTAATGGAAGACTTACAGTGAAAAATCCATCTGTTAAAACAAGCCTCGTCCGAAAATTTTAAATAACCGCCACGGATAATTAGTCTTTGGTTTGTTGGGCAGGAATAAGTCATAAGACATTTAAAAGTAGTAATATGGTGTGTGTAGTGGCTTGCTTGCATTACTAGTAGTAGATAGAATTTGTAAAAGCTATTGTCGAAACCTACTTGTGTCTGAATTCTGAACGCCCATCCGGAAATGATGGTAGCAGTCATATATGGCCAGAGCATCAACCGAGCGCGCCTTCAATAATTTGGGTGTTCGATCAACAAGGGAATAATTGGTTGACGTTCGGCATCTCATTTTATATGCATTAACGTAGGATGAAGACTACTTTCAGTTTTGATTAAAGCTTAGGCGGATAAACTCTTAATTATATTCCGTAACCACATTGTCTCTTGTCAAACACATGGGACTTATTATGTAAACAAACATTTAACTTCCAGTCTCCTACTAGAGGTTCAAAAGCGAACAGTTTTTAATGAGGTTAAATGACAATCATTTAGTTTTTAAGTGGGAATAAATAAGTGGTAGTAAAGGTGTTGAACTGAAATGGAGCAGGGGTCTAAGTCACAAGTCATGACCAGTGGTTTACCAGGATGTAAGATAATCGTTGTGCAACACTGTTTGAAACGGTAGCTATCTTAAGTAGTCTTTTGTAAATTAGTTATGCATTAAACCCAAATAGTACTAGTTCAAGTAAGACAGGTGTTTGTTCTCAAATATATCGCACCTTGCTAACAAATAATTGCCACAATGCAATATCGCTTACGAATTGTTCATAGTGGGGCTGGTGGCTGTGCCGAATTCGCACTAGACAAATGCATTTACGACTAATTCACAACCTTACCCCTGAAGTGAATATTGAAGCATTACAAGTGTGTTTACAGAAGATTCATGAGAATTAATATGTGTAGTCACTTTTAGTTATGAAGTTTAAGACTAGGTAAAATAAATACTATCATTACTGCGTTTATTGTGCTGGTAGAGGAAAGCATTCACTGACAGTCCACTGTCGCAAAATGCTATCTCGTGTGTCAGGTTAATCACCATGGTGAAATAGTTGTTCCCACAGTGCCTTTATTTGTGAATGCATGTCCCATTTGGAGAACTTTGAATGTAGTCGCTTCCCCTAAAAGTTTCTAGCTTAAAAAATATTCGGTCTACCAGGACGATTCTCCCGACTAAAGACTAAACCATTTTGAGTAACTTCCATTAAACACTGCCTGTCCTCGTGCCCTGGCCGATGAACTCTACTCTTTAGGTAGCTGCTTTTGTAGCCGATTGTCAGAAGAGGCTTTTGATTAGAAGCCTGCTCGAAGAGGTCTAGCGCAGTGGTTGGGACCTGTGACCCACATCTTCATTTCATAGAGTTCCACTACAACCTCGTCACTTCTGTTCACACAAATGCCAAAAATGCCCATACTCCCAGCTGATACACACGTAAGTGAAGTTCTCTTAATTCATTTGCACGCAGGTGAGTAGAAATGGAAGACCATTTAGGATTTGTAAAGAAGATAGTCGTCTCATTGTTAAAGAAGGCAAACAGAACACGACTGTAAAATGGGCCAGATTTTAACTTGTTTAAATGTGTGCACATTCATTTCCTCTATAAAAGTAATATAAGGCGTCTTCAACAGCTGGACACAGATTCACTCCATAGCACAAGTGACTTGTACTGTTAGAATTTGTGTCATGAGTATTTGGTGGCCATCATTCAGGTAACGACTACGTGAAGCATTAACGTCCTGCCATTCAGTCCCGGGCCACCACACGCACGTGTGCACACGCAGGCATCGATTGCGGACTGGGGGAAAGGGTAAACGCGTTGCGCGAGAGAGGAAGAACTTGGACAACGAATCCTGAAGCCTGAAGTGCACGCGACTGCGCGTGCATTGATCGATAGGCACCTTGTCCCAAAGTGACGCTAAGGATCATGGTCCCACCTAGGCCCAAGCGCTTTAAGGTTATCCAAGATATACCCAGAGCGTCTGCTGGGACCCACCATAAGTATTTATGGGATCGGACATTGTGATTCTTCCCAATAACTAGTTAAATTCGTCGTGTATTGGTGGTTTCAAATTGGAAGCTTTCTTCGTCAAAGTTAGGTTAATCAGGATAGCTTCCTCAAGCTGCGTAGTTTCAAAAAGCATTTGAACATTTACTTTAAGATATACGGCTAAACGGTTTAGCCTTTATGTGGACACCTTCTAATGTTGACTCCTGTTAATGCGCTACACGCCTACCAAAAAAAATAGGGAGTAAAAGCGGTCGGTTTTCAAAATTCAGCAAAAGCCTAATTACCCCATACACCATTGCCATGCCTCTTGACGATTACTAGCCCTGTACTTTTGGTATGCACATGATCAGGATAAAAAGTTTGGGTTTTAAATATTTGTGTGTAAAAGTACCACATTATGCTATTGGCTGTTACGCAAACACTAAGGTACATTCAGTGTGGTTCCATACACATGCAGACAACTTTCTAGTGACATTTATCAAAAGAGCATATAGGAGTCAAATGATGAAATCACCATCATGGTTTACATAGCTGTTCCGTAGACGTCCTGTGTACTTGTGCATTCTCGACAATAGTGGCTAAAGCCTTTAGCAGAACCAGGTGCCGACACCTGTCTGTCAGCAGCGCTATTATTTGCGAATCCCTATACATTTTACCCATATGTGAAGACGAAACGGTTAAAATGGGTGTCTAGGATCAACTGAATCGCCAATGTAATTTTGAGAAACCCACGAAGACGCCGTCTCAAAATGGAAATTAACATATAATTCAAATATAACCTAAACCTAAAATGGTTCAGTACTGCCATGTACGGGTAAATTCGTGTTTACTGCGAGGAGGGTTCATTGTTAACATCGAAGAAGGGATTCAGTCCATTCATTTGCCTACAACTCCTAAATATTAGTGGTAACAATTCACGGATTTAGGCTCTAAGTTCATTGAAGAAAGAGCGTAAATTTTGCTTC